GTGTGTGTTGTGTTGTGTTGTGTGGTGTTGTGTGTGTTGTGTTGTGTTGTGTGGTGTTGTGTGTGTTGTGTTGTGTGGTGTGGTGTTGTGTGGTGTGGTGTGGTGTGGTGTGGTGTTGTGTGTGTTGTGTTGTGTTGTGTGGTGTTGTGTGTGTTGTGTTGTGTGGTGTGGTGTTGTGTGGTGTGGTGTGGTGTGGTGTGGTGTTGTGTGTGTTGTGTTGTGTTGTGTGGTGTTGTGTGTGTTGTGTTGTGTTGTGTGTGTTGTGTTGTGTGGTGTGATGAGGTGTGATGTGGTGTTGTGTGGTGTTATGTGTGGTGTGGTGTTGTGTGGTGTGTTGTGTTGAGTTACGTGTGTTGTGTTGTGTTGTGTGTGTTGTGTTGTGTGGTGTGGTGTGTGTTGTGTTGTGTGGTGTGGTGTTGTGTCGTGTTGTGTGGTGTGGTGTGTCATGTTGTGTGGTGCGGTGTGTCATGTTGTGTGGTGTGGTGTGTTGTGGTGTTGTGTGGTGTTATGTGTGATGTGGTGTTGTGTAGTGTGTTGTGTCGTGTTGTGTGTTGTGTTGTGTTGTGTTGTGTTGTGTTGTGTTGTGTTGTGTTGTGTGGTGTGGTGTTGTGTTGAGTTGTGTGTGTTGTGCAGTGTTGTGTGCTCTTCAATCAGTTCATCAAAAAGCTGGTCAACAGGGCGAGCACACCTCACATTTTCATGGACTAAATCCCTGGGCCATCACCATTTCTCATCAAACAAGTAAAAGATGAATGAGCTGTCAAATCATCTACAGTGGCCAAATCAAAGTGCCAGAAGTGTATAGAACTTTATCAAAGGAATGCACACAACAAGGAGACAAGCATCCACACAGACCGCCTCCTGCCTTTACAGATCAGCAAAAGGCAACACCCGTGTATCTTTTCCTGTCTCTACACAAGACAACTCCTCAGTCTGGTCAACTGAGTCCAAGGACACATTCTGTTTAGAAGATCCCAGGATGAGAAATGTTTTCCCCTCAGAGCTGTTCCTACTTGTGACAATCAGAGAGGAAGACTGTTTGCCCACAGACAGCATGGCTACACCGGGGGCCTGGACACTGCTGGATACTGGCACACGCCCACAGCTATCCGGAACAATGGACACCGGCACAC